GTGTCGTGAAAAAAGAAAGCTTAACCCTGAACTTGTTGCAGAAGTAAAACGTAAAGATTTAGAAAGATATCATGTTCGCAAAAAGTTAGTTAAGGATATGACACCAAAAGAACATAAAAAAAAAACAAAAAGACAATGGCAGATTAGAAATAAAAAGAGAAGAGAACAGAAAACTTTGCAGAACGTTTTGATGAACACTCCGGCTTCTACACCACCTCCTTCAAGTCCCAGACTACTTCCATTAAGTCCCAGATCTCGTTCACTGACTCCAGTCTCGTCTGTTGCCAGTAGCAGGGGAAGAAAACAAGTGCGGCGAGATAGATCACGCCTTTATAGACAAAATATTCAACTTCAAAACCAAACACAAGAATTACTTAGAAAAGTGCAGAAATACAAGAAAAGACTTCAGCGACTGAAAAAGAAACGAAATAAAGTGCTTACAACAACAACTCATAGTAAAAAAGGAAATGAACAAAGCAAAGAAGAACACAGAAAATATACTATCTTATCAAATACCATTAAGAAACATTACAAGAACACAAACTACCACAAAACGAAACGCTATATTGAAAGTATACTTGAAGACCCAGCAATTCAACGTTCCAGACAAAAACTTCAACTGGCAATGGAGACCATTGGAATCAGGAGAGTGACAAAGTATAGTTTCATCTTGCCAAAAAATACTGCATTAAAACAAAAAATTCATGATTTTTATCTCAGGGATGATGTGTCACGGGCAACTGCTGGAAAAAAAGAGACAGTCACTTATCAAAAAAGGAAGATGCAGAAAAGAATTTTGTTGGATACTAAGAAAAATCTCTATAAGTCATTTCTAAAGCAGGACCCCAACGTTAAATGTCACTACAGTTATTTTGCAAATTTAAGCCGTTTTATGTCTTACCACCTTCAGTTGTTAGTTATTTTGCATAAAAATAAAGTTATGAAGACAAATGACATGAACCAGATAATCTTACAAACTGTATGCGATATAAATTGATATAAGGTTAGTTTTGTTAGGCGGACGTAAACATTGTTTACCACTCCGTCACTTCGTTAACTACTCTGTCACAATTTTGTCCCCCTTAAAATTTTAGTTCAAAGTAAGTTATGAACCACTGTTTGTTAGTATTTACAAAAGTAACGTTTTCTAGTATTATATGCTAAATAATAAAGGTGTTCACTAGATTTTTAAGCGACTTTATTGGGCGACTTTCATAATATTAAAAAGTTTTATGTCTTGTGAAGCAAAAATGTGACGGAGTGGTATTGGATAATTAAAAAAAATGATTATATAAAAAATTCCATCCTATGGAGCTAGATGATAGTAAATGTTTATGTTCTTGATAAGAAAGTAATAAGAAACTGAAGTTCTGATTTAAAATGAGACATAAAAAAAATAAATACTTTTGTGACTGAGGTGTTATTTTTTTCATACCATTCCTACGAAATTTGAAATGAAACGAAAATTACACGTAATACTTCGCTGCATTATATGTTTTTGTAATCTACAATAATGAGGCAATAATTTAAATCAAATTTCACTAAATAAATCACAAGTTAATTTTTTTATCAAATATAAAAATTTACTAGTCAGATTGTCGATAAAAAAGAAGAACGTCCCATATACTCTGTGGTATTATGTTCCTTGGTTTCCTCAGTCAAGGTCTATAGTTTGATGCCGTATTCGAATATTGTTTTAGTATGAGTAACTCGGTGGCGTAGAGGATAAGCGCCGCGGCTCGAGATCTTTGTTGTTAAGCAACTTTCGCAAGGTCACGGGATGGGTGACCAAAAAATTATTATCTCGAGTTACTTCGTGCTTCGGAAGGCACGTTAAGCCGTTGGTTCCGGCTGCATTTGCAATCGTTAATACCCTCCAATCCGCATTGGGCCAGCGTGGAGGGTCATGGCCTATCCTCCTTAACCATCCATAAGTAAAGGCCCCTGCCCCTGCAGTGGGGACGTAAAAGGGCTGCTGCTGCTGCTGCTGATGATGATGATGATGATGATGATGATGATGATGATGATGATGATGATGATGATGATGATGATGGGAGGCATTATTTAGTTGTATTGTTGATCGAAGTGTGAAATAAAGAAATTCATGTATACACTACATAAATTAACCCTTAATACATAACACTCCTCTTTGGGCAGTCTTGTAAAATTAGAAAAATAGTATTATCATTTTAATATATTGGTATTTATACTAAGTATTAAATACAAAAGGTCTCTTTTTTGCTTATTTTACATTATATTGAAATGGTCTGCAATTTTTACAATTTTAAAGTAGTTGTTTATAACATTAAATTAAGTTTTTTATTTCAAATATATTGATTTATCACTTTTTAAAAAGCAGCTCTAGTGATGGCTATAGAAACCAGGTATTTAATTAGAGTATGTAATTAAAAATATCCAGATATTTATAAAAAAACATGTTAAATATAAATAAACATATTCAAAGAACCGATTTTATATTTACCTATACAAAATTTTTTTGATACCATTGACAGTGGTGTAAAGACATTTGTTAATACAATGATTTAGTTTATTTTGGTGTAAACGTTGAAATACTTGAAAATTATTTGAAACCATTATAAAAACCATTTTATTCACTTATTATGGAAAATTCTTTGTAAATTTTGTGTCCTACAAGAGGGTACCTTACCTACCTAAGTGTTTGATGAACATCATCTTGTTCATATATCTTTCACATAAACCGGTAAAAACAAACAAACATTCATATTGATGTAACCAAGCTTTAAAGTTACATCAATATGAATGTTTATTTGTTTTTACCAGCAAAGTGTAATGTAACCAAGCTTTACAAAAATCTGATATTTATAATAAATATCAAAATATACAATATTTGATATTTATCTGATATATATAATGCATACGAAAAACTACGATGTTTAAGCTGCTAGTAGTTTTATTGAATATTTGGTCTTTTAAATCAAAAGTGTAAAATAAATATTGAGTTTGATTTATTTAATATTTGTTAAATAACACAAACTCATGAAAAAATAAAATAACTAGCCTGTGAATTGGGGTTAACAGGGAAAATGCGAAATTTCTAGTAAATAAAATTGCTACTTCGAGCCAATGTTGTCAGCATCACAGGGTTGGTTATTTTCTAGCTGAAACTCAATACTCAATATACAAACATACAATAAATATCAATATATATCATGATACATATCTTGATATTAATCAGCCTGAATGTAACACAGTAATGCAATTTTTTTAAAGAAAAAATAACTAATTTTATGTATTATGTCAGTTATATCAAGTGACCCTGCAATTGATGATATATTTAACATTGATGACTCTTAAATATTCCCATGATCAAAAGACAATACTACAAATTGTTCCTAGTTGCAAAATAAAGTGTTAGAAATATTAAAGTAGATCTATGAATGTTATATTTGAATTTTGTAAGTGTTAATTTAAAGTATGTTAAATATGTTTAGACAAATATAACTTAATAAGTCTAATTCTTTGAAAAATGTTCAGACAGATTTACTATGTTTAAACTCTTTAATATATTTGAATAAAGAGCTGACATATGCCCTTGTTTTTTCTAAAAGATAGATGAAAGTCACTAATTTTACTGTTTGAATTACAAGACCCAATTACAATGAATTGCTGCTACCAACTAGCTAATTGTAACAGCATATATTTGCAATATCATCATTCTTGGCTTTAACTTTAATAATCAAAATATGACTTTAGTTCAATCTGTAATTTAAATAAGTATTTTATTTAAACATCATTAAATTGATGCTGAAAAGCAAACACGCAGTAACCCGCAAAACCAAAATTGACCTTCAGAGCAGAAAAACTTCTATGTTTCGAAAAATAATTCTTATAAACATCCACAGTCATAAATAAGTTGTTCCTAAGTCAATTTATATGGAATTTTTTTTTTTTAAAGTACAAAGATTTTCTACTCTAAAAATCTATTTTGGTTTTATCTAAATACCTGTTTGCTTTCCAGCATCCAAATGATAGTAATCATTTCATTATAGTTAATATAAAAAAAGGGAAATAATGAAGTCATATTTGTACTTGCAGTTATAAACTCAATTAATTAGACAAATCCAGTTTCAAACTGTTTAGTCCTAAATGGGGTTACTATAATCAAAGTTATACTGAAATCAAGATATTTAGACATGTAGAATTTATGGACTTAGTTTCTTAAATATTGAAGTTATCCGAAATAGACAAAGATTTTTGAAGGAGACAATAACAATTGACTGCTTATAAAATTATTGTAAATTGTAACTTATGTTGACATATATGAATTTTTGTTACATACACAAATCGTTTTATTAGACCTTGAAATGGTGTAATATAGCACAAGTGACACTTGGTTTGAACGTTGGACTTCATTGCAGTTTTGTCAAATTTTAGGTTATACCTTTCCAATTTTACTTATCATGGTATCTAAGATGTCTTATTATTTATTGGTATTCAACATTTTATATTGAAAATAACAATTTCTAACATGCAGTTTACCAGAACTAAAAAAAAAGGTCAAAATAACAATAACAAGTCCGTTTAGTCACATGTGGTTTCATGATGAAAATGAATGCAATAATGAAAATTGACATACCTAGAATCTGACAATCGAATAGATTCGCTTCGAATTCCCTTCTCATTTAAGCTTTATTTTCTGCATGTTATTCCTTTATTTTGTATGCAAAGCTGCAAAATATGCAGAGCATTTGGAGGACTATAAGATGGCGTAACAACGCTCAGTTGCCGGGTGCCATCAACGTATTGACAAATCAACGTTTGGTAATTCTATTATTGTTATTCCGAAACTGGACACCGTCAATGTAAAAATAACTAGCATCACTTACCTCCCTCGGGTACTCAATTTCTGGAAAGAGATATTTTTTCTAATGAAATGGCCACTTTCAAAATCACCAAAACAAGAAACAAAAGCCAAACAAATTTTAAAAGTAAATACACTGTATCTATGTTATTCTTACCGTTTTCATCATATCCATGGCCCGTTGCAGAACACCATCACTAAATTTAACACCTTAAATTTTATATACATACAACAGCGGTGTCGTAAAATAAAATCTTGAGGGGATCTACACGTACCTCAGCAAAGGCCATGCACTCACCCAATATACATAACAGGATATGACAGCAGACCCGCCATATTTAATATTTCATCACACTGACCAATAGCAAGGCTGATTACGTACCAAAAAGCATTAACCATAGACAATTGGCTGTTGTATTGTCAAAAAGAAAGGATGTGACGTCTTCATACAGACACGTTCAGAAAATTACTTTTTTAAGTAATGAGGAAATATTTAAAAAATATAAAGAAACTACAAAATATTATTTCACTATACTCCATTCATTATAGCATTAGACAGAAGTTAAATAAGGTTCTTTTTATGGTATACTTTGTGACAAAATATCAGTAAGCATGTTACTCTTAAGACTGACGGCTAATTTGATACATATCCACTTCAATACCAGCTGCTAGAGTTTGGCAAGCGAAACGTGACACCACCTATTTTTCCGTTTTCATATGGCAACAACATAGAACTGTCAGTTTGACACTACGTTAGACAATTCAAGAATATTGAATTTTGTTGTTTTTGCGAATTTGAACTTGTGTTTTTGGTTAAAAATTATGTCGAAGCCGATAAAAAGTTCATCGAGGAAACTTCTTTCCATCATGATTGACAAGTTTACTGAAGTGAAAACTGAATTAAATAAAAATTTCATGGAGAAATTACAACGATTAGATAAAGTTGTATCTTTTTTAGGTTAGTTTTGTATTATAATTTTGATACTTTCGTTTTAATTTTCTGTAATTAACTAAACAGATATTTTTTATAAAATATTGCTCTATTTCAGATAACTGTGATGGTGATATTCAACCAATAATGGAGGAGATAAATGCAATAAAAACTTTAGAAAAACAAGAAATGCTGAATTCGGAAACGCGAGTACTTACAAAAAATTTCTTCAATGACAGGTCTCTTTTCTTGTTTTGATTTAAGATAGATTGATAGTATTCCTATAATATTTACATAGGTTTTTTATGATGTATTGGTTTTTATTGTTGACATCCAATGATGTCATAAGAATGTTTTGTTTAACAAGGAAATTCACAGAATTCATGAAACTAATCAAACCATGTAATTGTTATACATGCTAAATATGCACATAAACTTAACTAAATTAAACATAAATTGCATTCATAGTTGAATAGGTATTTAAATTATTTTGATGTATGTGTCTATCATTATTTGCTTTTAAATACATTTAACATATCTTTGTTTCAAAGTGTTTAATCTTTTATAGATGTAAGTATAAGGACACTAAGAAGGATAAAAAATGAAGCATTAATTAATAAAGGAAAATGGGACACTCCTGGGAAAAAACGACCTCATCAACCAACAGTGTCTGCTTTAGATAATTTTGATTTAAGTGCAATTCGGAATAAAGTAAATGAATTTTACTGTGTGAAAAAAATTGTTCCAACATTAAGAAGCCTTCACAATGAATTAAAAGATGCAATAGGATTCAGTGGTAGCCCGTGAGACTTTACGAAAAATTATGCTTAAGAATGGATTTTCTTTTAAAAGCAATGAAAATGAACGTTCTATGCTTATAGAAAAATACCAGATTTCTGCATGGAGGCACAAGTATTTGAGAGAAATAAATATAAAACGAAACGATGGAAAGCAAATTGTGTACCTTGATGAAACTTATGTACATCAGAATTATAAAGTTAAAAAGTCTTGGCAAGGACCTTCAACAACTGGTGTCACTACAAAGATATCCTCTGGAAAACGGCATATTGTTGTGCATGCTGGATCTGAGGAAGGTTTTGTGCCTGGTGCATTATTAGTGTTCAGTAGTAAATCCAAATCTGCTGATTATCATGATGATATGAACTCATCGAACTTTATGAAATGGGTCAGAGAAAAATTAATACCAAATTTAAGTAAGCCCAGTGTAATTGTTATGGATAATGCCAGCTACCATATAAAACAAATCAATAAACCGCCTATAATGTCTAATACCAAAGCAGATATCCGTAAATGGCTTGTAATTAATGGAATACATTTTGAGGAATATCAGACAAAGGCAGAGTTAATGTGTTTGGTTAATGATAAGAAAACATTGCCTGTATATGAAGCTGAAGAGATTTTAAAAGAACATAATCATGAACTTTTATTGCTGCCACCGTATCATTGTGACTTAAACCCAATAGAGATGGTTTGGAGTCAAGCAAAAAGAAAAATTGCAAGCAGAAACATTGGAATACCAGGAAAGGAAATGGAAAACTTAATAATAGAGTGTTTTAACTTAATTACCCCTAGTGACTGGAAGAAATACACTGATCATGTTTTAAATGTCGAAAATGATTACAAATTAAAAGATGGCATTGTTGAAAACGAACTTGAAAAATTTATTATATCTGTTGGTGCAGACAGTAGTGAAGAGAGTGACTCTGATGATTCCTTGTCATTGTTATCAGGTGTAGAATATTTAGAAACAGATTTTGACTATGAATCAGACTAAAGTATTTTTAGTCTGATTCATAGTCAAAATCTTATCTTAAATTTTCTATTGTGATTAACATGATGATTTTGTGACACCTGTATTATGTAATTTATCCATGGCACTTAATTGTAACAAAAATAAATGTTTTTTTTATTGTAATCTGGTGTTTATATTGACTAATTTAATTTGATAGATAGTGGTTCTGGATCAGAGCAAAAGGTTGTGATGAAAATCCCTTAGGAGACATGTATGTGTTATGAACACATTATAAATATAAAGGCCAGAAATCAAAATTGGCTAACATCACATTTATTAAAAAAATGTGGCCAGAGTCGCCCATATTCATTACAAAAAAACAAAGAAGTCGTTGCAAAAAACACCCTTTTAATTAATGACAAATATGAATTTTTAATATTATAAGTTGCTGTTAGCCAATAGGTATAACGAATGGGTTAAAAAAAAGATTCGATTTAGTCCGTCAGTCAGATAATAGAAAAATATTGGATACGTATTTTTTTTTCGCTTTAATTTAACAACAAATGGCTTAAGAGGTACTATGCGACGACTTCAAATATGCTTTGCAACAATGTTACTTTAATACAGTTTATCGATACGAAATCAAGTGTCAAAATGGAGTCCAGTGGAGAATGCCGATATTGACCTTTCGAAATTGCTCATCATTGATAGAGAATACGAAATAGTGATTTTGACACAATCAAAGTGTCTATTTTTTACGGTGATGACGATTCTTGGTTGTCAGTTGAGTTAGTGAATAGGCCTACTGATATGCTGTTAACTGTACAATTAAGAACAGTCACGCTTTAGTCAAATGTTCCAAAACAAATAATTTTAATTGATATCTAAATGTTAAGATTAAATATAATTAATAAAAGTATCAAAATTATTTTGCAGTACTACATTCAGTGTTTACTGCTTAAGAATTTTTGAAATTGCCGCCCTTTTCTTGTGACACGTTTCGCTTGCCAGACTCTATACTTAACTTGTTGTCATCTAAGCTATCTATTAAACAAATTTATGAATATATGACTAACTTAAATGATTTAATAACTATTACAATAAAAAGTGTTCATCGTCAAGAACCTAAAGAAGCAGGGTTGTGTAGTTTCGGCACGATTCTCATGTCACTATAACTGTACCAAATTTAAAACGTTGCCTAACCCCTTCAAATGTTTCGGCAGTACATCTTTTTAATTTTGTCAGACTATTATTTTTTCATAATTGTAAAAATCGCAATCTGGGATTGTCATCCATTGTGAATGCTATTGCCTTTCTTGTTGTTTTGCCGTTTTCCGTGATTAAGTTGTTATTGTTTTATTTTTGTTGTTAAGTTTTGTTAAATATGGACAATGCCGGTGCAGGCCCGAGTGGCCTACAAAAATTACGCTCTATGCATACCTACCCTCAACCTTTAACATTTCAGGAAGTTTATCCAATGTCTTCATCAATAGTCTAACTAATTACACTTACAATTAGAATTTATCAAAACAACAGACAGATAGCTTCAATTCTGGTTCCATGTTGGCTTGAGAGTAAAAGATGAATTTATAAAATGCTGGCCTCATCTCAACCCCGAGGTATCGTAAAAAATGGAAAATTGCCCATCTCTTTCAGACTACCTAACATTCAAAGTATCAACAAAACTGATAATATTTTTTAAATTTATCTTGAAAATAAAATGTTCTGCACTGCTGCTTCTATGACCCTCTTTTTTCTAATGTTATAATGAATGGAGTATAGATGGCAGCACAAATTGTAGGATTAAATGTTAATTCATGACGTTAAACCAAAGAGAACAGAATTGTGAGTGTCGTTATAGATCTGATAACTCGGATTAATATCGAGTTCAAATTCAATGAGGAAGTATAAGCATCACCACTAGATGGCGACTCTATCATAAGTTGATTATTGCAGGAAACGATTGGACCAAAGATAGTCATTTCCGTTCCTTTTGACTAACATATTAAAAAAACTGAAATTTGCAAAGTTCGAAACTCTCATATCAATACAAATGCGAAAATGTACAAATAGAATATGAGTTGTTTATTGAGTTTTAAAAACTAATTTACTTTTATACATGAAAAAAATTCGGAAGGGTTGTCATGGAGAAATCAAGAAAGTACTGTAGTGACATCTAGTTTGATTTCGAGAACTAATGTTTTTTTTAATACTTCATTAGTTCGAGCTACTCTAACGCAACTCGATTAAAATTCTTGAATAAATTTATTTTTTATTTTTATAATAGAAAATGGAAACTAAGATAATGGAAGAGAGCATAGAGGTATTTTAAAAAGTTATGCATATTAATGGAATTGATGCTGTGAAATTATTAAAAGGGGTATTTAGTTTTGTTGAACTTATAATATTTGTTTTCTTATGAACTATTACTTATAGCAAAAAACTACATCAATCACATTTTTATATTACGTATGGTAAATGAATGAAAAATATTCATTTGATACTTTTCTTTTGATACCAACTACTTTTGACATCGATACTTTAGAACCGAGTGGTAATGTGTATAGTGAAGTAAGTATGTATTTGTGTCGGTACTTGGTCGGTCACACAATGAGGAGTGTCAAA